AACTCTGCTACATTAAAATCCATTGGTCTGTCTTGAACATTGAATCGATCTTTTAACCATATTATGATTTGGTTGTTTACAAAAAATTAGATCACTGAGTTATGTGAGGACCTGCAAATGTTAATACATTTCATTATACCAAAATCACATTCATTAACATCTTGCCAATCTCATCAGTAAAGTCTTTGGGAACTGAAACACTCAGTATGGAATGATTTTTCAAAAATCCAGATTTCTGCTTGAAAGCTCACATTTTATCATTGGCAACAAATACTGTAAGCTGTTTTTCTTGAAATGACAGACTCACTTCATTAACTTTCCAGAAACTGTCCACCAAACACCCAAGACTTAATAACTATAGTCTGTAAGTCATTCCTTCAAGTAAAAATGATGTTCCATGAAAAAAAAATCAGCAGTTCAGCTCATAATTCAAACAACCATACTGTATTTCAACATGCAGAGGTACTCTTTGAATGCTTCCCATTTCATCACAGAATACTAAAAGTGAAGTGGATGTGTAGCGGAGTTTGGGTATTTTGAGCACTAGCTGTCCCAGACTCCTTGCAGGGCATTCTGCAATAAACGCCGCACTTTCTTTCACCAAAAAAAGGAAGAAAAAACAAAAAAGATATGTGCTAAAGGAGAAGCACTTAATAAAATTAATCATTTTTACTATTTGATCAAGGACATTCTCAAGCGAAATTAAATTCTTTTCCTATGACTGCATGGCAGTGAAAAATATAATGACTACCAGTACAATTAGGTGACACTGATTTAACTTGTTCTAAGACACTAGCAGTTTTACTCACCATTGCTTCTGCACCATCAGTGCAAATTTATACAACTTCAAAGTGCAGAGCTTAACCTTAAAAGGTCACCTATCAGCTTCATTTAGAGAAGCAGCATGGTGAAAGATCAGAATGGAATTTGGGTATCAAAAAGATCTGGTTTCAAATCCCAATTCTGACCCTATCTGGCTATGTTACTAGTTGGTACATCTGAGGCTCTAATTCTAAACTCTCAGTTTAACTCTCACCTATAAAAACAGGGACAATAGCACATACACACACACCAACTGGAGGAAAAAATTTTAAAGCCCTACTTTGCAACTGCCAGCAGTTTAAAATGTCTATGACCAAAAGTAAGTTTTTTGTTTTATTTATCCACTATTTATTTGAAGTTATGGCAGCAGTTCTCAAATTGAGGTACATAGATCTTTGAGAGTCCTAAAGCTCTTTTAGGAGGTCCATTAGGCCAAATCTTTTCATAATAGTGCCAGATACCATATGCCTTTTTCATTGTGTTGACATTTGCACTATTAGCAAAAGTGTCAGATTCTCTGGTGGAGGTGCAAATTAATACAACTATTTTGGAAGACAATTTGGTGATATGAATCAAAATCATGCATAACCTTTAACCCAGCAATTCTACGTGTAGCAACTTACGTAAGGAAAAAATTAAGAAATACATAGTTACAGGAATGTTCATCATAATGTCATTTATAACAGCAATAGGTCAAAAACAATTAAGACATTCAAAATAGAGAATTTTTTTTAAAGATGGTATAGACTGGAATTTGACACAATATTGTAAAATGATTATAAATCAATAAAAAATGTTTAAAAAAAAGATGGTATAGTAAGAAACTACATATGGTTAGAAACACATCTACACTTTCCTGATTACAGCTATGTGACCTTGGACAAGTAACTTATTGGTGCCTCACTTGCCTTATCTGTAAATTAGCAGAGAATGTAAAATAAAATGAAAAAAAAAAATTCCTAACATTTGGTTAAGTCCGCAGTGCAAGTTAACTGTTATTAATAACAGAAAACCATGCATTGGTTAGAACTGTATATTTACATTTATTGACAAAGAAAGAAGCAAATCATAAATTATTAAGGGAAAAAAAGGAGATTTTAAAACCAAATGTGTAGTATGATCTCATTCTTACAAAAGAAAAATGTGTATATATATCTACATATAGAAACAAGTTTTGAAGGATACACAGAAATCTGAGTTCATTCTAGGTAATGGAATTATGAGTCATTTTATCCTTTATTTGAAAACTGATTTTTCTCATTTATATGTCATAAAAATGAATTACTTTTGTAACAAATTTAACTCTATGAAATTTTTAAACATTACCTATTACCCAATTATTATGTAATATTTTTAAATGTTATAGAGATTTCAGGTTTAATTTACTTCAGACTTTGGCTTTTTTTGTTCGTTTCTAAGATATGGAGATGGGACATGATTCTTAAGACGTTATCGCATTTTTAGGGAATCACTAAAGGACACACACACACACACACACACGTGCATATATATGTTAAGCAATGCAAACTCATAAATATTTTAATTTCCACTAGAGTGACAGCTCAAAAAAACCAACCACATAATACCAAAGTTAAAATTAGAGATCTACCTTCAGAAAATCCGGGTCCTCTCTGCTCATGTAAAAAGGATCATATTCTTTTGGATCATAATGCTCTATAAATGCATTTCCCTATAGAAAGGAAATAAAACCACACATAAGATCAGGAGGTGAATAATTAATTTTGAGCATAACAGGTCTCAAGAGTAATCAAATATACAGTTCCACTTTTATGCTTTGAAATGGCATCAATGACAAATGCAAAAGGGAGAGGATGACCAAACTGGAAATTAAATTTAATGTATTTAAGTAATAAATATTATAGTGATAGACAGAATCTGCTAAAAATTTGCAAGATTTTCATAAAGAATGTTGGAACACTAAAAGATTTGGGGATTTGTTTTTAGATGCTTACTAGTTAAGCATCTCAGATCTGTTAAAAATGCCAGGAGAACAGAAATATTTTATAGCTTTGCAAATGATCAAGTTCCAGAATTTAAAAATATATATATCTTGAACTCAGAATCCAATTTTTAAAACTGGCATATAAAATTATAATTACACGGGAAAAAAAAAATGAGATTCTAATGTACATGTTTAAACCTAGCCCTATCCTCCCCCTCCACCCTTTCCGCATGCTCTGGATTCAAGAACAGTATCTGCTATAATAGAGGACAGATCACATGTACACAGAGTTGGAAAGGGCAGGCTGTTAGAATGATTATAAATAAACAAAGATAACTGCAGTTCTTAAACCAACTGAAAAAAGTATCAAATGATCTCTTAGTACCTTTTCATTTACGTATTTTAAAAAGTCATCTAATTCCTTTTGTCTCCTTTTTATAATCTTCTTATGTGAACTAACTTTTTCTATAATTTTCTTCTGGAGAGGATCTGCCACATGGTCAACCCATCTTTTATACAGCATCTCTTTTTTTCTTGTATTTAAGAAGTCATGATGTTTTAAATACTTATCTAGTTCCTAGTAGGCAGTGACAGGAAAGACAAATATATTATCTTAAAGCTTTCTTGTTCCAAAATTCAAACTTCATTTATATTCCTAAGAATAACCACAAAAATCATTCATTAATTAAATCATTGATTTGGCTTCTACTTTGTGACTCACACTATACTGGAAACCAAGAATACATGAATAAATTAGATAATATGCCCGTTCTCCCTGAGAGACAGACTACAAAACAATGGGAGGAGGAACAATATAGCAAGATATATGTGGGGCTCAAACAGATACTTATACACCAGTGTTCACTGCAGTATTATTCACAATAGCCAAGAGGTGGAAACAACTCCAGTGTCCATCAGCAGATGAATATATAAACAAACTGTGGTAAATACATACAATAGAATATTATACAGCCAAAAAAGGAGCACAGTTCTGACACGTGCTATAACATAGATGAACCTTAAAAACAATATGCTAAGTGAAATAAGCCAGACACAGAAGGACAAACATAGGACTCCATTTATATGAAATATCTAGAATAGGCAAATCCACAGAGACAGAAAGTAAATTAGAGGTTATCAGAGGCTTGGGGAAGGAGAAATGGGGAGTTCTTACTTAAGGAATACAAAGTTTTTCTTGGGGTGATGAAAATATTTTGGAAATAGATAGTGATGCTGGTTGCACAACACATGAATGTAATTAATGTCACTGAATCGTACACTCAAAAATGGTTAAACATAGCAAATTTTATGTATTTTACCACATTAGAAAAATAATTAAATTTTACAAAAAGATTCCCAAAGTAGTAGACAATTGGGATGGGCCTTAAAAAACAGAGTTATATAGGAAAAAAGGAAGGACAGAGAATGAGGAAGAAGAATATCCTATGGGAACAAAGAAAAGAGACAAGAGTGAAGAGGCAGAACTGTGGCACAACTTGGTACAAATGATAAGTAGCCTGCAAAGAAAATGCCTGAATTAGGCTATAAACTAAATCAATCTCACCAGAACTTCTCATTCACCTTTCATCTAGCAAATAAAATCATGTGATTACTAGTAGGAACAACATGAAATTTAAAATGAAAAAAAATAAAATAATAAAATCCCTGAGATCTTCTCTAGGCCATATTCCTAACTTCAGCTCATAGCACATTTCAACTATTCTCAATGAATAGCTCCTTTCCTTTTTAAACAACTCTAAAGAAAATTCTTAAAAACAAAAATAGGTTACCCACTCCAGTGTTTAGTACACTTCACATGGACAATTGTCTTGTCTTATAATTCAACCTATCCTGCTACAGTTAAAGCCTTGTTCTTACCTATGAACACCTGAGTAATAATTGGTGTGTTCCAGTAACAACTCTTAAAGCTCTTAAGAATACATAGTGACTGCACAGAAGCCCCACTAAAATGAAGGAACAAGTTGAGTAGGAGGAAACTCTTACAAAGCATCTATGAAAGAATCCCCACAAAGTATAGGAAAAGAGGAAGCAAATTAAAGCAATCTCAGAGATCTTTTGAGGTTAATCCTAAAGACTAATGAATGTTTTAATTCGGTTTTCTGTATTTTATAAAATTTTTATGACAATGCACTGTATCTAAAATGGAAAAACAAAGTTTAATTTTTAATTGAGACATTCTGCAGCCAATTCCTACCTTAATTACATAATTTTCTCTATATAATATTGATTGAATAGCAGCATCAATATCTTCTTTAGCTAATGCCTAAAATGACAGAATGAAAAATTGAAAATTAAGTATTAAAAAATTAAATTATTAATACTACTTAGACTCATAATATTTTATGTGACATATCACTGGAAAGTTCTCTGTAAATTCAATTTTTCTACCTCAAATCATATCATCAAGTACTTTTTAAAGAATATTTGAATCTTTCTGCCCTCACAGTCCATTCTAAGGCAAAAAAAAAAATTCAGATCACAGACATTTTGAATCCTAACATGGTCAAGTGACTTGCCCATAGTCACCTGGTAAGTAAAACCCATCTTTTCTCACATCCTATAATGTGATACAATCAGGCCTCTATTTGAATTCATTTAATCATTAGTGAATCCTATTTGAATTCCTTTAGTCATTACAGCTATCAAGTATCAATAATAACTATTTTTATAAACAAGTCACATTTTCAATAATTTAAAGCAACAGTCTTCAGGAAATAGTTCACGGTATTAAATTTTTCCATTTCCATAACAAAACTTCCAGTTAAACATCTGCCAGAAAATATAACAGGTTGATTTCTATCACACATATGAATGCAATTAACATCATCGAATTATACACTTAAAAATGGGTTTTATGCTATATATTTTTTTCCACAATGGAAAAAATGATTAATAGTAAGACTCCCTAAGTGGGAGGCACTTGGGATAGGCTTTTGAAATACTCTGATAATTATACAAAAATAAAATAGTCTCAAATTAATTGTCAATGGAATTAGTTGTCTTCAGTTCTACTACTCTTGTTTTCTAGAACAGATCAGTAAAATCTCAAAAATCTAAGAATTAACCTTCCACATTAACACACAAAGAAATTACGGCTCAAGGGAATTAAGAAATAACAGAAGCCTCGAAAAATCCTGCAGTCTGGAATTCAATTAAACGTGTCTAACTTCAAAATCATTTTCTTCATTTTTTTTTCTGTCTCACTGAATTGCTATTCCTAGCAAATTTATTGTTCTCAAAACCAAGATGGATACTGAATTAATATTCTAGACAAAAATATAAAAAACCACCACCTGAAGACACTGGAGACTGATCTAAAGCAGGCAGAAAGTAAAGGGTAGCCAACACTCGGAAAAAGACAACAGCACTGGATAAGTTTTTAGTTTTTTATGGATTTTCGTCTCAGAGCAGGCCTCAATCAGAGCTCAAGGAGGTGGCTCAAATTCAGATAGAAATATGTAGTTTCAGATTCAAGAATTAGAATATAAAATTCAGGGCAACTAGAGCTGCAGGAAGTGAGAGAAGGAATGCTATGAATTCTGCAGACCGAATCTCTGACAGATCCTTGAACTATGTATGCACAAAGCAGACTCCATGCAGCCCAGCTAAAGCTAAAAAGGACTACACTGATTTTACGAGCTGCCAATTGAGGGAGAGACAAAGTTTGGAGTCTGTGTTCAGCCAAATTAACCGCCTGCTAAAACAAAAGCTGTATTCTTCAGAGGAACGTAACAAATCCAGACCTTTTACAATGTACCATTCATCATGTTTAAAATAAAGTCTAGAATCGCTAGACACACAAAGAAACAGAAAAATGTGACCATATTTAAAAGAAAGACAACCAGTGGAGACCAAGTCTGAGATAGCTCATATGTTGGAATTAGCAGACAAGGATTTTAGGTCAACTATTACAGCTAGGTTTAAGTCAAAGGAAAATAAGGGAGGAGGGTATAGTTCAAGTGGCAGAGTGTGTGCTTAGCTTGCAGGAGGTCCTGGGTTCAATCCCCAGTACCTCCTCTAAAAATAAATAAACCTAATTACCTCCCCCAAAAAAACTAAAAAAAAAAAAGGGAAAAAAGAAGTTAATGGAAAATATACTCCTAACGAATGGATAGAAAAATCTCAGCAGAGAAATAGAGACTGAAAAATAACCAAGTGGGAAATATAGCTCTTAAATTTAAAAAACAAACTTGAATGGGCTTAATGGCACATTAGAAATGACATAAAAAAGTCAGTGAACCTGAACTCAAATCATTAGAATACACCCAGTCTGAAAACAGAAATTGAAAAGACTGGAAAATGAATAGAACTGCAGTGATAAGAGGCAATAGTGAAAAGTTCAACAAGTTGATAACTGGAGTCTCATAACTGATTTAAAGAATGGAGCAGGAAAGAAACAAAACAAAACTGAAGAAATAACGGCTAGGATGAAACCTTCAACATTCAAGGAAGATAGAATCACAGGGAATATATTTACTCTCCCACCTTAAAAAAAAAAAGGGAAACAACAGTTTCCATGACACTGAACATCAAGCTATGAAGGACAACGGCTCCTGAGATACAGAAAACAAGGTGAGCCCTATAATATCTCGTTAGTGCCTGGAGAGAATTTCCAGACTGTGGGAGAGAATTTCCAGACTGTGGCACGGAGAGGAGGAAAGCAGGTAGAACCCACCTTTCTCCCTGAAATGAGGGGAGTTGTAAATCTGGAGAGACCAGGGAAGTTACAGTTCACAGGGTGGAGCACCATAGAGAGGAAAGTCACACAGGGAAAGAGTTTTGGGGATCTGCAGAGAATTAGATCTGCAGAGAATTAGATCTGTAGGGGGTCCCCCTTGGGTCTTCAGCTGAATGCTGAACACTATACATATGTGGGGAAACTACCCAGAGAAACGCTGGGCAAAGAAGTACCTGAAAGAATTCGGGGAATAATCTCTAGAGGCCACAGAGGCCCAGTAGTTATTTAAGCTTCAAGCAAACGATTAAACATGTAACTGTATTTCCCAAAAGGAGAGGAGGTGGGACAGAAACAATATTTAAAAAAGAATGGCTGAAATTTTTCCAAATGTGTTGGGAAGTACATGCCCACAGATACAAGACGTTCAATGAACTCCAAGCAGTGGAGAAATTGTAACTTTCATATACTGCTGAGAATGTAAAACAACCACAGTGGGAAACAGCAGGCAGTTCCTCAAAGTGTTAAACACATAATTACCATATGACCTAGCAACTTCATTCCTAGGTTATACACCCAAGATATGTGAAAACATACGTTCACCCAAAAACTTGTATACAAATGTTCGTATTGGCATGATTCACAATAGCCAAAAACTAGAAACAATGCAAATGACCACCCACTGATGATGAATGGATGAATAAAATGTGGTATATCCATATACTGGAGTATCATTTGGCCATAAAAAAGGAATGAATTACTGATACATGCTACAACATGAATGAACCTGGAAATCATTATGCTAAATGAGAAAAGGCTGTTACAAAGAACCACATACTATGTGATTTCATTTGTATAAAATGTCAAGAATAGACAAAGCTGATTAGTGGCTGCCAGAAACCAGGGGAGAAGGGAATGGAGAGTGACTGCTGAAGGGTATGAATTTTCTTTTGGGGGTGATGAAAATGTTCTGGAATTTGATAGTGGTGATGGTTATACAACCTTGTGGATATACTACAAACTACTGAATTACACACTTTAAAGTAGTGAATTTTATGGTATATGAACTATATCTCAATAATAAAAACTCAACAACAAAATAACAACTCAATTTAAAAATGGGAAAAATATTTGAACAAACACTTCATTAATGAATATATATAAATGGCAAGTAAGACATGACAAGATGCTCAACATCATTAGTCATTAGGGAAATGCAAACTAAAAACACAATGAGATGCCACTGCACATCTTTCAGAATTTCTCAAATGTAAAAGACTACACACACAAAGATTATACCAAATGCTAGCTAGGACGTGAAACATTGGAACTCTTATACACTGCTAGCGGAAATATAAAATAATACAGTAACTTTGGAGAACTGTTTGGCAGTTTCATAAAAAGTTAAGTTCATTTATCAGATGACCCAGCCACTCCTTAACTAGATATTTACTCAAGAGAAATGAAAACATATCTCCATGCAAAGACATGTACATAAATGTTCCTTTTGGCTTTATTTGTAATAGCCAAAAACTATAAAGAACCCAAATGTCCTTCAACAGAATGGACAAACTGGGATATATAGCATTTAGCTAAAAAAAAAAAAAGGAATGAAGTATTTATACATGCAACACCCTGAACTGCAAAGTAATTATGCTGAGTGAAAGAAGCCAAAGAAAAAGAATACATACCAAAAGATTACATTTGTATAAAAAATTTAAAATGCAAAATAAACTACAGGGACCAAAACCAGGCAGGGAGGGAAGGGGGGAGGGATTACAAAGGGACACAATGAATAAACTTTGGGAGTAGCGAATATGCTCAGTATCTTGACTGCAGTGATACTGTCATGTGTGAATACATAGGTCAGAACGTATGAAACTACACTTAAAATATATGCAGTTTATTGTATATCAAGTATACCCCAAGCTGTGTAGAAAAAAGGTTAAAATCTTGGGGGGAAAAAAAAACCCCACACAACATCCGTAACTGTGGGTGATGCAGCTATAGCAGTGCTTCAGGAGAAACTTAATAACTGTTATGTTAGGAAAGGTATATAACCAATGACTAGTGGTGATTCCACATTAAGAAGTTAGAAAACGAAGAGCAAAGTAAATACAAAGTTGGCAGAAAAAAGGAGATAAGAAGCAGAACGAAACAGAAAACATAGAAAAATAATATATTTAACACAAGCCATTTCTCATTGCAACTACCCAAGTATAAACTTCAAAATGCCATACTATTGTACCTCCATAAAAGAAAGTGGCTGTGGCTCCAACCATTCTTTTGAGCTCTTGAGCTTGGGAAGTTTGTCATTTATCAGATCATCACTGTCTGAATTTTTCATTGTGGCCACAAACAGAGCCCCTAGAAAAACTAAAAAAAAACAAAAAAAAAAAAAACTTAGTAATGAGAATTGACAATTATTTTCTCTTCTGTTTAATTAATAATCAATATTTGTGGCCATGAACGGACGTGGAATGGATTCTGGACATCAGACATCCACGCTTTCCGTAACAAGAGAGGCCTCCACTACAGGCTTCTGCGGATGTCTTCAGAGCCAGCCTCCCTTTAAGCAGGGGAGTTCCTGCACCCACCCACCGCCCCCTGGAGTTCCAGGCTTCCCACAGCGTCCATTCGCGCCGGTGTGGCAATTATCAGCCTGGCTTCTAGGAGTCGCATTTGCAGTTTCTGACTTTGAATGGGCAGTTACAGCTTTCTGGCTACTGAAGCACACACAGGTTGGGCCTCTTAAGAGAAGGAAGGAAGGACTTTTGAACAAAAATTGCTTGTCTTCGAGCTCTGAGAGGCTCAAACCGCCCCCCGGCCCCGACCACGCCAGAGGTAGACCTACAGCCCCCACGACTCCACCCCGTCCTTCCTACCCCGCGGGCAAGATGCGTGCGGCCTCCGTCCTGCCTGGCAGGGGGGTTGCTGACCGCGACCGATACCTCAGCTCCCCTCCCCAGACTGGGAAGGCCTCTGGCTCCCCTCCACCACGCGGGGACCCAGGCCGACGGCCCACCGTCCCTGAGTTGGCGGCGGCAGCGGGAGGGTGAGCCCTCCTCGGACACCCGCCTCGACCCAGCTCGAATCCGTCGCCTCGGGATGTGAGAACGTTTCGCGTCCAGCGTCTCCAGACGCAGCAGCCTCTCCGCCGCGGCGGACAACTAGCCCGCGCGGCGCCGAAGCGATTGGAGGACTCCGAATTCCGTGGGGTCTCCGAGTCCGGAGACCCGACCGCTGCGACCCTGAGCCCCGCGCAACTGCGCTCCCGCAACCCGGTCCGCGGAGAAGGAACCTGGAGAGCCGTACCGCCGGCCAGCGGGCAGACCGTGGATTTGGGAAGCAGCAGTAGCGCTTCTCGGTGACGGGCAGCTGTCTCAGCCAATACCTGAGCACGTCGTCCTCTCGCCCCGCCTTCCCTCTGCCGTTGACTGGCGCCTGCGCCGCACGCCGGGAGAGTGCTGGGCTCCATCCCTGGTACCCTAGTGTCTTCCCTCAGGTCTGGCGCGCCGCGCTTCCCCCAGCCCACTGTGCCTCCTGTGCGTCTCCCCAGCCAACCAGTGGACACTAACCCCCTACCTCGCCCTCAGTAACCCTGATCCAGGGAGACCCCCGTGGGCCACGTCACCGCGAAGGGTGTGGTGGGCAAGGGGCACCTGCCTCAGTATCCCTTGGAAGGACGAGTGTTTGTGGAGTGTGTCCCAATGAAGGACGGTGCAAGAAGACTTGGGAACTTGCGCGAATGTCGCTTTGAGTACCTTAAGGATGTTTTTAGTCGCATGGAGTGTTGACCGTGTCCATAGTTGGTGCTGATGCTGGTCAGTGGGAAAGGAACGTGTGGACACAGCATATCTCGTTTAGTCTTGTTTATTTAAGTGGTTCTACATTTTGTCAGGTTTTTTATTTTTGATTTTTAGTCCTAGATGATTATGATGCAAACCATTGACAAAGCTGTGATTTTCCAAACTCATAACCCTCTCGCTGAACTGACTTTCTATGATTGTTTTCCTCTTCAAGTACTGGTGGACGCTAGATGATGGACCGCCATATCCACTCTTTATCTTTTCAAAGAGCATGTGCTGACGTTAAAACTGTCCAGAGTGTCTTACGGATATTTGTATTCACAGGCCTTTTAAAAACTAGCCAGGGCAGATCATTTCAACTGCAGTTGCCTTTTTCAGAGGAAGCATGAGCCATCTGCAGAACTTACTGTTAGATACCCTACTGGGAACGAAGCATGTGGACAGTGCAGCCCTCATCAAACTCCAGGAGCGGAGCCTTTGTGTAGCATCACCAGGATTCAGTGTAAGAAAAAACGAGTTTGGGCGTAAGAGTTTAAAACTTTCTGTAAAGGTCCATAGTAAATATTTTAGGTTTCTGGGCCTTATGGTCTCCGTCACAACTACACAACTACTCTGCAGTTGTAATGGGAAAGATGCCATAGGCAATACATAAAAGAATGGGTATGACTGTGCTCCAATAAAACTTTACTTATGAACACTGCAATTTGAATTTCATATAGTTTTTACACATCACAAAGTATTATTTTGGGTTTTTTCCCCCCAACTACTTAAAAATGTAAAAACCATTCTTAGCTTGCAGGCCTACAAAAACTGGTATTGGGCCAAATTTCACCAGCCCACCACAGTATGCCAACTTCTAGTCTATTTAACCTCTGCAGGTAATGCCCCGTGATGTCCGAACACTTGTTAATGGATTCGCCAAGAACCCTTTGATAGCCAGAAGAGAAGGATTGTATTTCAAGGAGAAGGACTACAAATGTATCCGGGCAGATGAGTATTCTCTTTATGCTAAGAATGTGAGTGTTCCAGATTTGAAGACAACTGGGTTAAAAACCTTAAGAATTTGACTCCAATTTTCTGTGCCCCTCCTGATCCTATCTCTGAAACAGGCTAAGCCCATTACTGCAATGGCAGTGTTTGAGATAGCATGCAGTCTAATGCCAGGAAGGCATATGTAAAAGAAAGTACTGACAGAGAAGCCTGAATTTGAGAAATGTTCGTTCCAGAATTCATCACCTGAACCTTGCCTGAACTGTGCCTCTCCACTACAATTCATCCTTCATATTCTACATTCTTCTTTTTTCAAAAAGTGGTATCATTCTTGTGCTTAAGGCCTCTCTTGGTTCTCTGTGGCCTTAAAGGAATTAAAGAGATGACAGTCACATTTCTGGATGGCCCTATATTATGGGTTAGGCACACTTCACCCACATTAAAAATTAAGTAGCCTTATTTACAGGTGAGGAAACTGAGGCTTGACAAGGTTAAATAAATAACTCTTCCATAATCATACAGCAGAAAATGGAGGGCTGGGATTCAAGCCCAGAGCTATATAATTCCAAAATGTATTTCCTTTCCATGACGTCAGTTGTTCTCATTAGGATAGGGGTATATTACAATCAACTGGGAAACTTTTTTCAAAATACACATGCTGTTCTTGCAGTCTGAAACTTTTTGAGGAAAGACAACTAAATTAGAGAAAAAGAATGGAGAGTCCAAAATCAAATTATGAATATAGAAGTCAGGAAACGGTGAAAAATGTGGCTGGAGCATTACTGCTAGTCCTGTGATTGGAACCAAGAGAAGGGCATTCTGTTTTATTCTGATCCAGGAAAATACTGGTGTCGTTGTTGTGAAGACCCAACTGTATCTTCTGGTGGCAACTTACACTGAGGGCATGTATCCTAGTGTCTGTGTGGAAGCCACAGAGAAGCTGGGTAAGTCTCTCTCAATGCCTGTCTTTATTCCCTACCGTAGTCAAGTCTTCTGACTGCAGATAACCCAATCCAATCAGCTAGGGCAGAAAGGAGGAATTTATTAGAAGGATTCTGGGGCTCCTTAACAAAACCACTGGAAGGATGGAGTGCAGCTGAGCCACAGGGGAGATGGATTCCAGAAACTGCAACACTACCGGAACTCTTCTCTAGTCTAAGAAGATCAGCTTTGTTCCATCCCATTGCAAAATGCCTCCTTTCCTGGTGGTATCACAGCCAAGCTTTGCATCCTACCTCAGTTTCTTTTAGATCCCTGATCTGCAACATATGGTTTACCCTTATATCAGTCAGCTGGGGGATCTGGGAGGGCATGGTGAAAAAGCAGAGATGTAGCTGTTGGGGGCCACCCTATATAAAAGGACCTTTTACAGAAAAAGAAATTACTGTGAGCCAGGCAGTCAACTTGTTGGTGTCCACTGCATTCTCCTTCCATGTCTCTGTTTTTGAATAAAGATCTAATGTAGAACTGGGAAATTTTATCTACTGAGAGTTGAGCTTAATAAATGATAAACTCTGTGTTTAGATTTTTTAATCTAAATTTAAATTTCTAAAAAAATAAAACCTGTTGGAGTTTTTGAACATTCCTTTGTAATAGTAGAAGCCTCTACTTCTGCTAGTGAGGAAAGCAGCCATTCTTTCATTCTTTCAGCAAATCCTGTGATAACCTCCACGTCCACTGCACTATCCTAATGAGCTAGGAAGTCAAAGCGGGTTAAAATAAAGTCTGCCTTCCATGTCTCTCTATATGCTTTCCTATCTGCCTGAAATACCTTCCCTTTCTGTCCCTGCCCTTTCAGATCCAACTGGCAAATTCCTAATCATCACTGAAAACTAAGTCAGAACTTGAGTTTCTCTCCACTGTGCTATTTTATGCATAGTTTTATTTTTACCTACCTTAGAGTCCTTTATTTACCTAGATTGTGAGCCCCTAGAAGGCAAGAATTCTGTCTTAATCATCCTCCTATCTCCAGTGTCTAATGATGAGACAGTGTCTAATGATGAGTAGGCAATTAATACATGTTTGATGAACAAATAAATTAATGACATCTGCCTAGCAGAATCAGGGAGGGCTTCAGAGAGCTGAATCTTAAAGGATTAATTGAGAAAGTAACTACATCACAGAAATTATACACCCCCACACACACACAAATGTATACACCTTCACAGTTGTCATAAATAGTTCCCTGGCATGGATTGTCATAAACCATGCTACACAGCTGGCAATGAGGTATTCTAGGAGCAAAGAGGACTAAGCATGGGTAAGATGCAACTTAGGAAGCACCTAACAGAAGGGGTGAACTCCAACTTGAGAGGAACAGGCAATTACAACCATCAAGGACCTTTCCTGAGCAGGTGTTGGGATTTAAGGCAGGTTCAGTTTCAGTAGAGCGCGGCAGGAGCAGGAAGGCAGAACAGAGACTTCTACATCAGGGCTAATTATCTAATTAAAGGTGTCCAGAAAATGAGGCTAGGAAAATGGACAATTAAGCTGTCAAGAAGCTGGACTCTATCCTATCAGCTGGGGCCCAGGGCTAAGTCCCCAGGTCTCCTGTGGAGAAGACCAGACAAGTTTCATGATCACTATAATGTAGAGTCTGTGGCTGGCACTAAAGAGTGCTTAAAGCCACAAAAGACTCCAAAGAATGTGTTGTAGTTAGAAGGACAAGGCTGACATCATTCCACTGAGATTTCACTGCTCTGGGAAGGGATAGACTATCTTGGAAGTGGTTGGATGCTCAGAGGGATGGATGAAGCTGGTTACTAGTCTCATATCTCATCACTTACTTATTTCCTTCACTTGTTTTCCTTTTAATTACATTTATGTCTATTAAAAATTATACTTGATAATTACAGAAAACTTGGGAAATACAGAATTACGACTATTAAAACTTCTCATTATGAAGGATTTTAGGAGCATTATACATACATTTTACATATATATGTGTGTGTGTGTGTGTGTGTGTGTGTGTGTGTGTGTGTATAGGGATATATATATATATTCCCTTACTAGACAATGAACTCCCTGAGGGAGGAACTAGGTCTTAACTGTCCAGTCATCCTTGTACCTCCAGGTACTTAGCACAGTGCCCAGCATGTGGTAGTCACTCACAAATGTGGGTGGGATAAAAAAAAATGAATGAATCATATTGTGATAATATACTGTTCACAAATAATCACCATGTTCTGTTGCCTTTCAGGAGACTATCTAAGAAGAAAAGGAAATTAAGTTATCAGAGGATGATCAAAGACAATCTTTATGATTTTAGAAGAAAACTACAGATCTTAA